AGTTCTTTCGCGGTGAAACCTTTCATATTACTTGGAGAAGTTTCTACGACCAGTCCTAGCCGCTGTCAGTCGATGATACGCCCATGTTGGGAGAGCTAGCACTGGTGGTCGTTTTCGTTTCATTAACAAGTCCAAGTCTTTCTACCGATTAGATCTATTTTCTCGCCAACAAGATTCGATAATTTTATCATCCCAGTCTCTGACCTATCGATTTATCGCTGCAAAAGTATGCCTTTTTCTCTGATTTGGTCTTGAGGTAAACATTGCATTTGAGAAATCTGAAAGATATTTTAGAGCTGATTTCGCTAGTTTATTGGCATGAATGTTCCCGAGAATTCCAGAATGGCCTGGCATCAATCTTATATCTACTTACCAGTTGAATCTTGACAGAAATATAAATTGGTCGACTGTGGCTTGAGACGACTTTTTTTTTTAATTTTTTAATTCATATTGTATTCAGCTATCTAGCTATGACAATTGAGACGACTTGCTTCAGCCTGTTCTGAGGGAATGAACCGCTTTAGAGTTATTGAGGAGTATTCGAATGTGAAACTCTCTTGCCATTATGTAAAAGTACGAAGGTTACGGTCGCTACACAAAAGCAAAGCCACAAAATAATGTATCCTTTTATATGTAGATAGCGTTCCAGTGTGACAGAGTCAGTGTAAGGTGTGTGCTGATGACCACCTTATATAATTACTTACAAAGCGTCTAACCTGGTGCAAGAGCTAGACCAATTTGCCACATCCCACTTACATGCAAGGCTGGGCCCAAAAGTCAGCCCAGCCAACTAACACCGGGTAAAACCCGTAACACAATATTACAGCTGTACTTGCAAATGAAATCCGAGGCATGAGTGCTCTTCCTATATATTGAGTCATCCATTATGTACTTTTCTTTGATATTGTGTCATAGCTAGATAGCTGCATACACAAATAAAGTCTGATGCAAAAAAGAATATATATCTTACAGCTGCTTCCAAGGCTTTCTGAGCGCCTAAAAGCTCTGCGTTGTTCACTTCTACTCCCTGATTCAAACTAGCATCGTTTCCAATCAGCCTAATTCCATTGTGTGCGGCGTATCCCCATGCAGATCTAGCTGGGCCGCTTGATGAGCCATCGGAGTGGGTACTTGCAGTCTCCAGCTAGAGATTTTCAATCCATACCTTTGCATAATATGATTCAATTTTTGTGCGTAAAAATATATATGGCACGTGACTTGGCTTAGTGGCAAGCCTTATTCGCCTTCCCTTGTATTGTAGAAGAAGAGTAGAGAATGATTAAACAACTGTTACAATATTCGTATTTACACCCCCATCTTTTCTAGCGAAACCTAGAAGGAGCCTGGCCGGATTGATTTTCGGATATGAAAATTTCCCGTGACCTTCAGCGATCTATACATTAGGAGCACTGTTCTGGATTTGTGTCAGAAAGCGCTCTGAAGCAGCGATAGACCGAGATTTGTGGCCTGCTCGCAATTCGAGGCACCTTGTGATATCTTTTGGTACTCCCCTAGATCTCGGTGCTAGATAGTGCTGTTCTAACTGCCTTTACGATTGTTTTGTCCAGTAGTTCGGTATGCCAGCCAATGCCGGTGTTAACTATTTTGTCTCGCCGAGTGGTAATACGGGCTAGGCCTGACTGTTATTCCTCTGCTTCATACAGAGCCGTACTAAGGACATAGGCGTGGACAGCTTTAAACATCGTTCCCGGTGCGACGCCGCGCTGAACAGTATCAATCCAACGTATAAACTGTGTTACACGTGATTTTCTGCACCACTCTTGCACGTGCTGCTTAAATTTCAGCATGGAATCAAGCTCTACTCCAAGCCATCTCAGATATGGGGATGGCGATATCGTCAGCATATCCGAATCTTATTCCATTCCCATCTTGAAATAAAATGACAATACATAGGAGGAAAAAGAGTGGTGAAAGAAGTGATGCCTGGAGGACACCGCCCTCCACGATTTTATTGCCCATTATTCCATCCTGATGACGAACACGAATTCTATGCCGGGTCAGAAAAGACTCAACAAATCGGCATAGAATCTTTGGCCACACCTGGTCCCGCATTCTACGCAATAGGCGCTTGTGAAGTACGGCATCAAAGACTTCTTGCAATTCCATCGTTACCAAAGCTATGACTTTGTTTTTCCTCATTGTCCTCTCTACGTCTTGAATGACACAAGATATAAGATCGATAACTGAACGTCCAGGAAGTCCACCAAATTATTGTTGGGGAACTGCATAATGCTCGATGACTGACCACGCCATTCTTATGACTACGATGCGTTCTAATCCTTTACCTAGGCATGAGAGAAGAGACATAGGTCGTCACCCCTTGGGATTGGATAGATCTCGTCCTGGCTTTGGAAGCATGACTACTCTACGGCTCGAAACGCTATTAGAAAGTGTCCATGATCGATACATGCTTGGAATATGTTTCTCACCTGTATTCAAATTACTGTACAGCGTGCCTTGAGCAATCTCACAGTTAGTTTGTCAGTTCCTGGGGCCGTGTAACCGCCGCCAATAGTACATTCTGTAACGTGCTGCAATCATAATGCATTGTCCTAAGAGATCAGTATTGTAAAATTCGGATGATTTCTATTTTTTCCTGCATGAAAAGGTCTACACATAAATAATGTTTGGCATCAATTTCAATCACATCCTTCCTGCCAACTGGGCGCATTCCAAACTAGAATTGTTGACATTCGTCTTTTCTCCACCTAGCGCATACCACTTCCCAGCTAATAGTTGGCACTTCCAACTTCATTGTTACACATTGACCTTAGAGCAAAATCGCAAGGAATTTTCATTACATCATGTAATAGTTCAACAGATATTATGATATCACAATAATCAGCTCCAGTTGGTCTAGCTCCCACGTGGAGAGATCTTCGTCTGCGTCAAATTGGACCATCATCGTATCCTTCAAGCTCTGTGCCCTCTCGAGTGGGTTGGAGAGCCATTTATCTTCTGCAACTCGTAGTGGATGGAGCTTTTGACATTACTTAGGCTTGGCCCATTCCATCAGTTTAAATACCTGCGCATCTATGGTGGTATTTTCAAATAATATCTTCAAGTGTTCTCTTCAAGCTGCTTTGACAGTAGGTCTGAACTTTTTGCGGGCTTGGTCTGCTATAACTAGAGAGCCGTTAGAGTCTCTGGACTCGTACCGCCTTGTCTTGCATTACTTGTTCAACCACGGTGCTGTTATTCCATTGGCTATCAATGCCTTGCGCCCTATTGCTTTGCTAGCATCGTCAATTACCACTAGGAGTGCAGAATTTTGGACCTCTAGGTCTAGGAAATAGCTCAACGGTCCTGGTTTCATCCAAGTTTTGTCATATTTAGGAAATTTGCTGAGGCTTTGGTCGATCAAAAGCAGTTCCTATGAGATACTTAATGTTGAAAATGTCGCGCAATGAAATGGGCGCAATATTTATGAAACGATAGAAATTGACCAAAATAGTGTCATGTTCGGATTGCAGCTAAAAGAGTGGGAAGTGTGTGCAGCAAGTACAAGTATAAGCGACACAAGGCCTAGGAGGACAAGACTGAACATCTGTACGCGGTGTCCTCTACGAACCTGGGAGTGAAATATTCTTTCAGATCCAAGTTCAGTCAGATTCTGTAATATCAAAGAAGTTGGCCCACGAGGCAACGATTCAAATTACTCCAACACGTCGTTTTTCGCTCCCGACGAGTCTGACTCCTAACTAAGTCTCAAGTCTACAACTATGTTCTAGAACATCCTCATTCTATTGACCACACCTCTAGTCGACTTTTTCTGGCCTCAGCTGGTCACCAAATACACGCCCACGCCGATATTTATACCCAACGGAGGAAGCAAAGCGTGGCGCACATATCTGGGAGACGGTTCTTTGGGATGGACGTGAGAGGATTCAGGAAAAGTTGATAAGGTGATGCGAAGGATGGATACAGTCTCGACGGGCGTAAATTTTCGAATTTTGACGAGGAGATTTTACAACTTGAGCTTTGTACGCGCTAAGGCTTCGGTTGCAAGAGTGCAGGAGACCATCTAACCACCGCCATGGTTAGATGTTGCAGTGGCACATCGTCTTGGCCGGTCTCCCAAGTAACATCTGGATAGCTCGGATACATATCCCACTCGACACAGTAGATCGCTGGTTCAAATCCGGCAAAACACAACCACTTTTCTCGCGGCGCTGGTAAATTTGGATGACGAAGGCATGCTTGGATAATCAAAGGTTTTCAATTTCCCTTTGGTGGGTACTCACGGAGGAGGATCGGCTGTTTATGTAAGCAAGCATACCTCATAGTGGTATTTGCAAATGAAATCAAGAGTATGAGCGTCTCTAACGTCAAAAGAGTCATCCCACATGTATACACAGCACCGGTCATGTGTCATAGCTAGATAGCTGAATACACATTAAATGATTTTAAAAAAAAAGTACAAGTGTAAGCGACACAGAGCCTAAGCCACAGCATAAACGAGTGTGGCGCCATCTAGGCATAGAAAACCCCCAATAACCTCCTTGTGCCCACGCCATACAGCCGCTCATATCTCCAATAGGTAGCCTGAAGCGCTACCATATTACCCATTCCAACCTCTTGAATACACACAAGATCGTGTTGGGAACCTAGACGAAATGGAGGGCCCGTACGTCCACAACACTCTGTGTCTCAATTTCAAACAGTAAGCTAGGTAGAACATACATAGATAATTAGCAGTAGATCGAAATCTTCCCAAGTCATGAGAACAATAAGTTAGATAAAACATACTATTCCTATTAATCTATCCCTTCTACTAAAATATGTGATATCTAAGAATCCCTTTAATTTTGACTTGATGGCCAATACTCACTTCTATCATTCCAAGATACTTCCACAAATTTAACAGATTATATATTATTCCCTTATCTAGCACTTATATTTTGTGTTACGAGAATATAGACGTCAGGAAGCTCACAATAGGAGTACATGTGAACATGTCGCAGTACCTTCAATAAAAATTAGGGACTAAGCCTCTGAATCTCCCAAGCGCCTGATACTTTTGTGTATTGGAATCGATCGTGCAATCGGCTATCACGTCCTTGCCAAAATTCTATCATGTCTGGCAAGATACGTAGTCCACCCCAAAACGTTGGAACAGGAATATGTTCCACGTCTTTAAATTTTTCTTCTGTCTCGGCAACCCAGCCTTCCAACTCTTCTCGACCTTGTAAGACTTGACTCTGTTTCGATGCCCAGGCCCCAATGCGAGATCCTCTAATGCGGGTATCAAAATATACCTGACTCTCATCGCTACTTAATCGTTCCACCGTACCCTCTACTCTTACTTGTCTCTCAAGTTCGGGCCACCAGAACGTAAGACTTGCCCATTTGTTGCTAGCTAAATCCTGTGACTTTTTGCTGGTGCCAAAGTTACTGTAGATTACAAAGCCACTGGCGTCGAGCTCCTTCAGATAGACCATCCGAGCTGAAACGCGACCCGACGGAAGGCTTGCTGTTGAAAGGCAAACCGTCTCCGGATGGTGTACACTGTGACTTTGTGCGTGCGCAAACCACTCCGCAAATTGCTTCAGGGGACATTCTTTAAGCTGCGTTCTTTCAAGACTACCCTTGACGAATTGTTCGGCTTGCGCGTTGTTCTTCTCGTTAGCCGGTGCGACTGAATGTCAAGGCAGTCAGCTCGGGAATAATTTATGTGGAATCATGTGGTGTAGACTAACAAATGAACTTTGATGGTGTGGCGCTGGAATTGGTAGACATTCTGAGGATTGGGTTCCAACGCAAAGAGCGAGTGATGATTGTACGCATGGGGGAGGTTGTAGGATACTTTCGCCTCAGCAGCGACTGCCAGTGAAGCTATCAGACTAGTCTCTCGCGAATGTCTGCCACCGCAGAAACAGTCCAATTTCAACAAGTCCATAAATTTGTTCTATTTAAAGCCATAATATTTACGAAAAGGATACACAGTCCTCTACAATGCAATCTTCATCAAGTTCATTAAATGAATCTTGTTTATTTCCCAATCTTGCTTTCCATCAAACTATCCGTGCGACAACATTGCCGATGTAGGAGCTGATAGGGGGCAAAACAGCGGCCCCGACGCGTTGATGAGAGCGATAATGATCACCTTCAACAAAGGCAGTAGAGGGCAATCAGTTTCAAAAGACAAGAACCTCGAAATTCTGAAAAATTCATCAAAGAAATTAGACCTGTCGTCATGGGCGAATTACAGAAAATAGTACCCACACAGGAAAATGACGGTGAAGCCGATAAGACTTACAATAAGCATAGGAAGACCTAGATAGTGATTTCCCCGGAATAAATTTCCAACTGAATAGATGATGATGGCGTTCGAAGGAGCTGTCGAGAGGAGCGTTGCGGATCACGCCAGAAAAAGTAAATTCACTGTGGCGTCGGGGGTACCAGCGCAAAAATCCCGCGTGTCGGTCGATACTACTAAAATAATGAAATGGCGGTGCGAATCAGAATCGACTGGTCACAGAACTTGCAGCTAGAAGAACTGATAACGAAAGCGATGGAAAAAATTGAAGGGGTGTACGTGATTTATCAGATACGAAGCAAAAACACAGAATTACCCTTAAATTCGACGTCTCAGGGGGACGTATCTCTTAACAGGAGACAAACGGCCGCTTTTTGGAACCTACAGCAAGAAATTTCTTTAAAGGTTTCAGGAGTCCCGCTATGAATAAAACTTGAGGGCGGCAGAGATTCCTGCAGCTATGCCATTGTCAAAGATATTATGACATTTACGGAGGCTTAAGTTTCCGGCCTTGTATTAAATAGGTTCTTGAATTTGATCCTATTTAACCCGATCAGGCACCCTATGGGTCCATGCAGATGACTATCTTCATTATTTACAAAGGAGGAAACCAATTTGGTGAAAACCCCCTGATCCTGTCTATTTATATTCCTATCAATTTATTTAGTTTACCTTTAGGAAGTGCAGTGTACACTGTTCAGCCAGTGTAGATTTCGTCTTCTCCCCTTCCAGATCGTTTTGTTATATCTGAAATTGTTACCTCGACTTTCCCTGCAAGTCGAAACTGTTTCAACCACCCTTTGCTTCGTATCCACTGTGTGATTCTAGCCACATATTCTGGGATATTTATCATGGCTTCAAATGACCTGTCTTTAGCTCGTCGGAGAAAGTCGCCTCTTCTATTAGCCCACAGCAGACATGCTAACACCAAGTGCTTGACGTTTTGTGACGAATATCCACATTGACAGCTTGGCTTTTCCACCCCGGGTACTTTTCTTCTGCATAGGTAAGAATTAAGTCCGATATGCTCGCTCATTAGCTAAATGGCGACACTGCTTTGGGCCCTGGTCAGGTTACGGTGGATTTTTTAGGGTGTATCTTTGAAGCTCATTTTGGTGCTACCTGTTTTTTCATCAGTAAATATATTTGCCGCTTTCCAATGTTCTGGATCGGCTGATGCTAGTCGGCCAGGGCGCTGTTTCCTGTTCTGGCTTGTCCATGAATCTTTCCACTCCTGAAAGGCCGCTATCTTTCCAGCTTCTTTCTGCCTTCCCCTGTCCTTTTCCCTTCCACAAGTTCTTGTCTATACGGCGATATCTTTACTCTTGCTCAAGGCACGCGGAGTTTCTCTCCTGTTTGCGGGCAGCTTTATCCTTTTACATGTCAATCAGATTGTCTCTTGAACTGGGAGTTTAGCTGATAGTCCGGCGTGCTGGACCCTCCTTTGTTTTAGGTATATCTCTATAGGGAGGCCGGACGATTCGTGCTCTAGCACTCTGTTGATAGTAGAATTGTAGGCACTTGCAACAAGCTTTAAGCATTTTCTTTGAATACTACTGAGGGGTTTCACTATCCTTTCGGCTTGCATGTAGGTTGTAGTCTGGAATTTTGCACTGTAATTAGTTCGCCTACTTTTACCTGTTTGCGATATTAGCGCTCATCATGTTTATACCTTGTGTTTAAAATTTGATAATACAGTCTGTTTGTAAGACCGGATGATGAGATTACGTGGTTTGTACTATGGAAACTGACTGAAGGAAGACGAGCGAACTTGTACTTAAACAGAAGTGAGATCATGGAAGATAGGATAATTAATCATTTTTCTCTTTCCCTTCTCTTTGAGAAAACATCTAAGTCCCAATACTGTGACATTTGTTCTCTTAGACAGTGAGGAAAAAGATGTAGTTTGGTCAGGGAGAAGCCCAATGTGCTAGATAGTAATTTTGTTAAACAGTAAAAAACAAGCTAACGATGGAAGGTACCATGGTACGCCTCTTGGTGGTATTCGCCAGTATAGTTTGAGTAGCCTAGGCACCTACTTCACTTGGGGAGGAGATGCCTCAGATCACACTTTGCGCAGAGAAAATTTAGTGGCTGGAGGTATTTCTGGAGAACTCAAATTTTTGAGGCGTTTTCCTGGGTGGGTTTTCACGGATGAGGGTTGACTTGGGGTGAAGAAAAAGCCACCATAACTTCGCAGTGGTACATTCAAGTGAAATTCGAGGCATGAGTGCTGTTCTTGTACATTAAGTAATCTGTTGTGTACATTTTCTCTGATATTGTGTCATAGCTAGCTAGCTGCATACGCAATTCAAACACGTTGCCTAGAAAAGCCCATTGGTCTTTTGTCTTAGATTCCAAGATAGGTATTCCAAGTATTTGAGAACAATTAATGCCTAATTTCTACGACGGCTAGAATATAAAGTGCCATGTCGCAAAACAAGTTCTGATAGGTATATACTTACGGGACAAGGAGTTTCCTTGAAATATTTTCTTCCAACAATTTATTTAGAGAGCTGGCAAGTCACGCGACTCCCAATTATAGCAGCATGCATTGCTTTTATTTTTATTTTTGAATCATATGACTTCACGGCTTAGTAAAACCAGCTCAAGTGATTGAAATATATTCTCTTATGGTGCAGATCCGTATTCAGCCCCGTAAGTTAAATAATTTGGCCTGACACCCAAGATTATTCAATTCCATTCGAACTGCAATATCCTCAAGAGTACTATGATGTCGCTCACCATAATTTTCTGGTAGAATGTTCGAGACCCCACCAGAGGTTATCAGGATTCTCCTTGAAAAGAAAGAGAACTTTTCAGGAATAAGATAAGGTTATACTAGAGTTATGGGATTCCTTAGAGCGAAGAAATTTCTCAACTTGAATCTCAGAGGGAATGTCCTAAAATATAAATTAATGATTAACAAGTATTTTACACAGCTCGTTAATAGCAGAAATAAATGCTAAACTCTCCTACACGATCCTTAATTTGCCGTGGACCCAGTTTATAATAAAAATATATCCAGGTAGTACCTACCTGGACCCAATGGGGCAGAATTTCTATAGCCCTGTGCAACCCATTTAATAGTGGAAAGATTTTTGGCTCTTATGACTCCTGCTATTATTTTATGCCTAATTATTATTGTTCAAATCTGACTAGTATTGTAATAAAGGCACTCTTTTTTGGGTGAAGCACTCACTGGACAAATTAAAGGAATGATGTTTTGCCAACATATACCCCACTTTCTTGGCAATGTTATCTAGCATGAGACATAACACCGCCGACAAGATTCCTACAAGCGGGAAAAGTTTGCACACCTATACCTTGAGACCTGATACCTCATATTTATCAAGCTGGCGCTAGTGAAATCAAGCTAAACCTTAATTCGCCCTGGCCTGCCGCAACTTCTCGTCTTGTGAAGGATCGAACACTTAAATCCAATGCTTTCTCTGATAGTAAATCCTCATTTGGAAGTAGCTGACCGCGATTTAAAGGGCCTTTTCGCCGTCCATCCAATTCCCATAAGACATTATCTTTATCCTTAACAAAACATACGTAGTGCAAATCAGTATCGTCTTCAGCATTCGGCTTATCGCTTTGGCCATGATTGGCTGCTTCTTCATGAGCCGTCTCAAAAGGTTTGAAATTGTAAATGAGATTGGCTCGATGATCAGGTCCTTGAGGAATGGCTTCTTTGAGGAAACGTTCGAGATCTGAATCAGACTCTATGACAAGTTAAAAGCCACTTTTTTGAGCAACTCAATCCTTTCTATGGCATACCGATAAAGTTTCGCGCCTCTCCATTGCTTACAGCATGCAGAATGCCGATTAGACCGCAAGCATTTCGAATAGTTTGTTTGTACCAAATTACAGCTTCTTGATCACCCATTAGATCGTAATCATGCTGTGTCTGATCTTCATGCTTCCGAAATTCCTCGTAGCATTTGCTGATTGGAAAAACGAGGAGCAAAGCTGTGACCGGTCTGGAGTAAAACTCAAGCATCTCTGGTTCATCAATGCTGAAAATATCATGGAAAGAAAATGCGTTTGAAAGTCCAAGCGAATGAGCTAGCTTCGACATGACCTCAGGATTATTTTCTGCACCATGATTAATTAATTTTCCTCTCTTTCTTGAAGATAAAATAAAATACTCACTCACCTAAAGGGACAAATGATTTTTGATCAGGTGGAACATCGGAGTTCTCTGCTGTCAAGCACAACGAACTATCCACTCGAGCATCCAAAGGATTTTCCATTTTTTGAGTTATCTCGTACCTTTAATTGGAAAATATGGTTCTAGTTTGTTAAATTGTTGTCGCGGAATCTATTGGCAGGGCTTGAACTAGAAAGAATCAAGTTGGGAAAGGCATCAGTATTTGGACCGTGAAGAATCGACAAAGTCTCTCACCTTGAGATCCATGACTGAAGGTGTCATGTGGATACTCGGAAGAAAGAAGACAAGGTAGTAGTGTTTCTAGAAGAATGACCTCATATTTTTTGTTCCTTCACTACAAGAGTGATGGGGGAGGTGACGTCATGAGTCCCGACTATATCTGTTAGGGCTCATAGTTTAAATTTGAATCCATTAGCCTAATTTGGTGCCTTATGGGCCCATGTATGTGTCTATGAACTGTAATATTTATATGGGAAGAGACATTGTGGTGGAAACCCCACAAACCTATATGACCGTTATCTTAGTTTTTCCAGTGTATCCTTCAGGAAGCGCAGTATGTGACGGGCTTTGCCCGGATTGGGACTGGTCACTAGGACCACACCAGGGAGACTATTCTCAACAACTGTAAGTGGTGTCCCCTACGAACCTCCTGATCTCGCTGTAGAGTCTGCAGAGCCGAGATTGAGTAACAAAGTCCTCTCTTCGAAGATGATTCCCAATCGCTTTCGCGGTCTATATCGTCTTCATCTCTCAACACATTCCCCTATCACCATTATCATGAAGCTAACCACGATCAGATCAGATGCTAGGGTCGGAGCCCTACTCTTCACCAACCTTTGATCATGGAGGAAATGCTATCCGGTGAGTTTCCAGAGCGTACCCAGCACCCGATACGGAGATGGTGGATTACTTCAAGTCGTCCTCGACTATTACAATTAAAGGAGATATACATGAATATGCGCACCTCATGTGGTCTCGGTGTCTAGGTCTCGCCTGGCTGAGGCTGCAGGTTCTTTGAAATGTTTCCCGCGCACGCAGTTTCCATTGCTACCATTTTATTTTTCTTGGGTAGAAGGTTCCGCGGAAAAGGTGGCCGAATTCCACGGGTAAATACTGAGCTGAATGGCTATTCATCACGGGCAATATATCAATGATCTTTCAAGTAACAAAAGAGGCAAGGAGCACTGTACAAGGTGTGGCCTGGGTTAGAGCGGAGCCCAATGTGCTAGATAGTCATAGACTCAAGTAGCACAATAAACACACACACACATTACATTCGCAAATACCACAATGAGATATGCTTGATTACACAAACAGTTGACCCTCCTTCGTAAGTACCCACCAGAGGGAAATTCAAAACCTTTGATTATCCAAGCATGCATTCGTCATCCATGTTTACCAGCGCCGCGAGAAATGTGGTTGTGTTTTGCCGGATTTGAACCAGCGATCTACTGTCTCGAGTGGGATATGTGTCCAAGCTATCCAGACTCTACTTGGCAGACCGGCCAAGACGATGTACCACCGCACCATCCAACCATGGCGGTGTTTATAGTGTCGCCTGCACTCTAGGAGAGATCTCTTATTTTGTTTTGTTTATTTTGTCCTAAGCTAAAGCTATGTTTTCCACATTGGGTCAAGGACAGGTGGAGCCGGCAGGGTTCCCTGTAATCTTTCCTACAGCCTAACTCGTTCCAACCTCGTGAATCGCTACCAAAAGTGCAGCTGATTAAACAGAAACGAAAAATCAAGAAAATCAAAACAACTCCGAAAAAAACCAGAAGATTCCTCAACAATGGACCCAGTCAATGTGAGAGATCTCTTGTGTTGCTTCAAAGCTTAGCTTTAAACACCACGACACGATCCCACCGGTAATTGATGATTGGTATCCCGACCTATTCTCTGGTGTCAAAGCTTATTTCTCTGTTACTTGCAGTGATTTAACGCTTGACCACAAATATGCCGCCGCCTTCGCCCTCACCAATTCTATTTTAGAGTGGACGACGCCCGAAAACCATGAAATTGGCTCAATCGAAGCATCAGGACGCAAAGGACCATATTTTGAGAATAAATAAGTCACTTACCAGCTTGAAAATGCCGTCCCAGTATTAACTGGTGTTTATACAATATTACAAACACAATTTTACGTGGCAGATGGCAAAGCTTGGTTAATTTTAGGTTTTGAGGTCAACTTTCTCAACTTTCACCTTTCTTTCTTTTTTTTGTTATCAAAAATAACATTCATTTGTTCTGAGTAATTCGTACTCGCTTATTAAGGAAAAAAATCTTGAGTATTTCACCACTGCAAAAAAACAAAACCGTAGACAGGTGCGGTGGAACGAATTACTCGCAGATTTCGATTTTAAGATTGTTTTCAGGCCTGGTAAACTACGGGGCAAGCCTGACGCTCTAACTAGAATCCACGCAGATATGCCAGTCGATAGCAATGATATTCGAAATATTCATCAATACCAAACACTCCTCAATCCACCTCAAATTGTTCGCCGCATAGAAATAAGCTCCATACCCATACTTGGATCGACAAATACAGTAGAACCTACTCCTGCATTGGCCATACTAATGGAAAATTGGGAGTGTCACGGTACGGCATTCTGCCCCGTCATGAGATATGGTCACGTGGATGGAGGAGACTGATGGCTGATGCGGGACGCTCGAATAAGAATAGCCTTGGGGCTTTTTATACTTTGATTCTATTCTTTTCTATTCTTCTCCAGCTTAGTATTCGCTTCACAGATTGAAGTATCGCTATACAAGCTGTACTTTCACTTGTGCCTATTCTACGCCGTGACATAATACTAAGCTCCCCAAACTACTCAACGCGACTTTTGTAGAGAGGTAAAATATTACTTTTAGACTCAGTAATCTGTGGACAGCGTTTCGCTCACAATTATCTGGACAGTCATTGACTAATCGTCTCGCTAATAAAGGATAGCAGAAGATGCCAGGAGAGTGGCCGAAGGAAACCTCCTAACCTCGGTGTATACCACCTGCGCACCCGGGGAAGAGGAGGACCATACTACGAAGATTGATGTTCCATGGTATCTGAAAGTCACTTTTGACATGTTGGACAAGGACTATAACAAGAGAAATAAACGCCGCGCTGCTGAAGTCAAGAATGAGACTGATCAAGAACGCCACGAATATATCCTCAAGACTATGTGTACCGCCCTGGCTGATTGCGCCAACAACATCAGCAACTACCTTCGAGATACACTAGACCAGAAAGTAGAGGCAGAGAAAATGGCAAAATCCTGGGCGGAGGAAGCCGAGCACAGGAAGGCTGCATTTGCAGAGTTCACTCCAGATCTCAAAGCCAAGGATAAGGGTAAGCAGAAGGAGGAATCCAAATCGGTGCGAGAATCTGCTGCCTATAATATTTTTGACAAAGACGCCGCCAGCAACAAAGATGTCCGTGACCCACAGGCTAAGCGACCCCGCCACCGCCAGAAGATTGAGAACCCACCCACCTTCACTGGTTCTCATAATCCTACTTTCGAGAACTGGGAACGCGCTGTTAAGCGCAAGTTGAACGGCGATTCGGTCTACTTCGATGATGAAAACCACAAGATCAATTATCTCTTGGGCTTTATTGGTGGTGATGCACAGGAATTTATCAAACCCTACCTGGAACCAGAAAGCGTCAACCACATCACTGTTGCGATGTCCATCGTCGAAGTTATGCGAGGAGCCTACAGCAAGACCCGAGGACAGAAGCGCTCTGAAGCTCGTGCCAATTCCAAAAAACTCCGACAAGGGAATGACATCTTCCCAGCCTTTTCACTAAGTTCTTCACCTTCGCTTCTCAATTGCAACTTAGAGACGAAGACCGCATGGATGAACTTCGCGAGAATATGAGTCCCAAGTTGCAAAATGTCATCGCCGGATTGGATGTCAGAGCCACATTAATTGTTTCCTTAGGCAGGAAAATAGGGGTAAAACTTGATTGTAATGCACAGGGACAAGGATACAGGACGAGGTAAATTACATGTGCTTCGTTTATTACATGGAATTGCTTTTGCTAGTAGTTGAGACTGTGTTAGACAGTTAATGCTAAGCCTAGAATTCGGTATGTGTTGGGGTACTTATGAACTGGATCCAGCAGGTGTAAAGTTCCCCAGCTTCGCAATCTTTATCATACTTTCTCTAGTTTTTAAGCTCGCTTAGTAATCGATCAGATTTAATTTCTCCTTTGTTTCCCTACAGCTAATTCATACCTCAGAGACGGCGAATTAGACCACTGAAGCTCTCGCCGTAATATTGGATTTTTTATCTACCTCGGAGATGTCGCAACACTGCTTGAAAATCGAAATACACCTTCAATTAGCGCGCAAATCAGAGGATCAAGCCGCCCGCTACCAACAACGCAAGGACAGGTACAAGAAGCCACTTCCCGCGCCGGACCACACTCTTACTGCATCTCCAAGAGCATCTAGTCCACCCAAGCCAAACGTCTTGGCCCGAACCGCTGGTGTCTGCTTCTATCGCTACAAGACTGGTCACTACGCTGACGCTTGTCCTACTGCTAAAGTCAACGAGGTGGATGCAGAGAAGGAGGAAGCTGAAGCATCTGGATCGGAATTCACCATGAGTTCCGATGAGGGAAAAGATTGTCTCTAGGAGAAGTTGCCTTCCAAGAGAAAAACACGTATCGAGTAAATGGCATTGATTTGGAACATTTGTTTGGCGGAAGGCCACTAGTCATAGATTGTATTCTTGAAACTAAAAACAATTCCCAATTTCCAATCTCTACCCTCATTGATACTGGAGCTAATGGATATGCCTTCGCAGATTGTAAACAACTGCGTGATTGGTACCGAAATAGTAAGATTAAGATGACGCGCTACAATCTCCGTCATCCACTCTCTACCAGAGGCTTCGACGGCAGATCATCCCTACCTCTACGCTATGCCTACGTGATGACACTGACTATAGACTCGCACCGAGTCAACATGCCGTTCTTTCCTACCACACTTGGTAACAAGAACAATCTGATCCTCGGTCGGCAGTGGCTGGCCTATCATGACGTACTCACAGACTGCGTGCGACACCGGCTGTGGTGGTCAG